GCTTTGGCGTCTGCCATTTATGTGGAGGTATGGTTGTAATATTTGCATTGATATTTTACATTATAAATCATTAAAAAAGAAAAATAAACGCTGATTATGGGCGGTATGCGGCGGTATGCGGTGGTATGCGCCTTTTAGTGAGACCGTAGTACAACCACTAACTAAAGGTTTATGCATAGTATGGGCTAGCAGCCTAGCCCTAAGCCTGATTCTAGTAGCCTAGGCCTAGATTGGTACCTAGGCCAACCAAAATCCCCTAATCCTATTACATTAGGGTTAGGTTTATCTATATAAAGCTGAATTTTGATCTGTAATTAGGACTAGTGCTACATATAATGGCAAATAGATAAACATATTAGATTATCACTCCCGCCCGCGGCAAAAATTCGGTAAATATTGATGCGGAAAAAAAATTTTTTTGCTGCATCAATTATTTCAATAGCATAAAAATAGCAATGCAATTTTGCGACTTCAAATACATTTTCTTTATTAAAAAACTATAAAATTAAACAAGTTTTTATACAATATTTATCTACAGGTATGACAGACGGTCAGACCAAATATAAACAGTCCCTCCATCATCCGTAAAAACAAAAAAGAGTGATAGGATAGTCTAATAATTTTATCTATGTGCCCTAAACAAAAATTAGGTCTAGCCTAGGTTAGGTTAGATAAGATAAGAAAAAATATGTGACTGCATATAATACCTTTTGAGGCCCGGGTATTGCATTCATCTAGTCTAGTAGTAGTAGTAGTAGTAGGCTAGCGCCTCTTTTGCCTAAACCTAGACCTCTATAGGCCTAGCTAGATCAAAGGAATAGTACATGGCTTGCACCAGATAAGCTACAAGAATTTTGTAATGTTATTCATAACAAGGGAGCACCGCTAGACATCTGTTGGGGGTTCATAGATGGAATGTTCGACCCGTATGTAGACATGTACAGTCGCAAAGAATTATGTACAATGGACATAAATGACTACATGGTATTAAATTTCAGTCTGTTGTCGCTCCGAATGGATTAATCGCAAACCTCAGTGGGCCCTATGAAGGTAGGAGGCATGATAGTGGCATGCTGGCTGAATCACAATTATTACTCCAACTTGAAGAATTTTCAAATGGACCAAATGGTAACGCTTTGTGTCTTTATGGGGATCCAGCGTACCCTTTGAGGAGGCATTCGCTTGGTCCCTACAGAAGGAGAGCGCAGCGCCTACTAACCGAATTAGAAGAGTAATTCAACGAAGAGATGAGTGCTGTCAGAGTTAGTGTGGAATGGGCTTTTGAAGAAGTATTGAACTTCTTTAAATTTATTAATTTTAAGAAGAACTTAAAAATGAACTTAAGTGCTATTGGCAAGATGTATTTGGTGTGTGCATTGATGACAAATGCACACACAATTTTATACAGTTCAACAACAACTTCATTTTTTGGCATAGAACCACCAGCACTTGAATATTACTTTCAATGAAGAACTACCGCATATTAAACTGTAGGGGAGAGTGGTGTTAGTTCCCCCTCCCCACTTTTGTGACTGTTCCCAGCACCAGTAACAAACATTTTACGAACGCTGCAATGTCATTATTTATTATTATTATTATTATTATTATTATTGTTTCATGCGAAACTATATTTATTTTTCATGATTATTATTGAGGGCGTGCTCCATTGCTTAGTTCATTGAAGCTTTGTAGATCCAACATGGCTAGCAGTTAGCTTGCATTGACGTTTTCTAACTGATATAAAATCTTTAAAATTCTGCTGTTTTATAACTAAAAATCGAATGGTCCACTGATTAATCTCAGATAATATAGTATAATAATACACCAAGTATCGAAATGCATGCCATCGTGTTGGGATTCAATATTTCGACATTAATTATGTCATTATCAGGAATGATGACATAATTAATGTCGAAATATTGAATCCCGACACAATGGCATGCATTTCGATACTTTGAGAATAAAATTGTCTGCCTTGGTGAATTCTGTATTTAGGCATATGTGGGGGGAGGTGATGTAGTTCTCTTTATGCTAACCACAAAGATGTATAGTAAGTGTAACTGATTTGCTTACAGTAACCCTTCAAACTAGCGTAATATAACCATATTAAATTAAATGAAAACAATAAGATACTTAATTAGGCCATTTTTAAAAATAAAGTTCTGTTAATGTTAACTACAGAGTTTACCGTACACTGTAGTTAATGTGTTATAGGTTGTAAAAACTGTATTGTGTAAAAAAAATCATTCAAATAAAAAAAATCTTTTGCTTGACATTACAGTAGTAATTAAAGATTTGTTAAACAAAATGAAAGGCTATGTCAAAGTGTTATATTGTTTTTATTCTTTATTAACGCAACTCAAAGTGCATTAATTTGCAATAGGTATCCACGTGACCAAAACAGACAAGGCCAATTGGTCAGTTTAGCAACTACATTTGCGTAAAGTAGGATTTTACCACTGCACATGTAGGCATGGTTTAACGACCGTCGAATTGCTTATTAATTAAATTTTTAGTTTTGATTATTTTACACATTATTTTATAAATTGCTTTGGTCATATTAATTTAATTGTTTGTCTACATATAACATTTTGTAGGCAATTAGTATTAAAGATGGTTACAATTTGAGGGAGATATATACTTTTATAGAACATGTCTATCTTTTTAGGTGAGAATGTGCATGAATTTACTAATAATAAGTTTACAGTAAGTAGAACTTGAGGTGAGAAAGTTAGAGGCAGAAAAAAGAAGACTCACAAATACAGTGGCTTATTTTCGGGCAAGCATATTAAATAGTTCTTTAAACATAGTGTTTTGGGCTTCAGCTTGCATTCTTCTCTCTTCTGATTCCAACTTTCTCACCTCGAGCTCTGCCATGAATTGTTGGTCCTTTCTGTCAGCTTCTTCTCTTCTCCATTTGTCTTTTCTTTCCATTTTCTTCCCTAAGGTATGTGATAGTATCATTTCTAGAAACTCTCTTTGAACACACTTCCTCTTCACTCCCTTTTCTGTGAAAAGATTAAGAGTGATTTATTATGCATATACGGCACACTAGAATGAAACTGAGTATTTTTTCACTTTTTACGAACACCAAATCTATAGGATGATGTTAGTTATTTTATAAAAAAAAACCTTGATTATTAATAAAGAAAGATGTAGAATATAGTAGTAATTAATATTGATCTGGGCATAATTTTCATGCATTTATACAGTAGTACCAGAATGCTTGAAATACCTTTTGGGTGTCATTCCCTTCATGCATCTATCCTGTGCACTCAAAGCTTCCTCCTTTTCTGACTTGAACTTGTCCTCATTTTTATCTTGTTCTTCCTTTTCAATTAACTCCTCAAGTCCCCTCTCGAGCTCCGTTAAATCTGGTGGTGTAATGCCCGATGCTGCTTCTTCTTATCTAATTTTATTTTTAAATCTTTTTTTCAATCCATTGTCCTTATCTCTCAAGGCTCTTTCATTTGTCTGAAAACCATCCCCCCAGCACTCATTGAGCTTCTCTGCAAGCAATTTCCACTGCGCACCCCGGCTCTTCGAATTATATTTGTAGCTAAAAATGTTGGAATTGAGCATCTCTTTTACTAAGTCATTGTCCATTTCTTCTTCCCATCTAAATAGGAAAAAAGTAAATTTAAATTCCTTGAAAATTATAATAAATTGCATTTGTTGATAAAGTTTAAATAATAAATGAATAAATAAATATATAAATAAATATAAAGTATAATGAAAAAAGTTCCAATATTGCATTAATCAACATGACATTACGTACATTTAAAGTGAAGGGGCTTAGTATTCGAGGTCATCATAATAGTACTCATTTTTAAGAGATACATACAAGTCCTCATTTTATTAGTAGAAAAAAAAATTAAAAATTAAGAGAGTAAAGATGTTTTTTATGGTGCTAAGTAACAAAAACCTTAATAGGTTTGATTTAAATATTGGCAGTGGTATTGAAGGAATATCCCGGGGGCCTCACTCTTAAATATATTTAAGACGGGTAGGTGCCGCATTTACGGGGGTATTTTTGAGGAATTGGTAGCACAAGCATGGGAATTTATGGAATAGTTTCAGCACGTATAGGATATATTTGCGAGGACTTGGTAGCGCAAGTGTGGGGAATACCAGGTAAATTATGTAAAGTCCCTGCACCGTCCCGTAACAAAGTCGCATAATTAATCACACGATGTTTTAATAGCATAGATTTTTTGCTAACCTTCGTGCTAAACCTACTGTTAATACATAGCCATGAACAGTAGGGATCACGAACGGACAGAATCGCAGTCTTATTCGAACCATGGGGAACGGTACAAGTTTAATTTGGTAGGTTACATGGCCGTAATAGTAGTTCAACCGACACTGGATTTTGGTAAATGGTAGTTCAAGTCCCTAATAATTTTCAGTAAAATAGGTAGTGCAAGTGTCTCATGTCTTGGAGTGGCTGCTGCACACCCCTCACACACTGTAATATTTGTTCATTTACATTGACATATCATTAATACCCTTTGATCTTTTTTGTTGCTGATTCTTCTGGTGTGGCCAACGGTGCTCCTGAAATTAATAAAATTATACATTGATTGAAATATTATTTGTATTTATTATTTTATATTATTATTATTATTTATTACTATTAATAATAATACTTGGTTATTTTATTATTTGTGTTATTTATTATTAATATATTAATAATTTATTATTATTATTTATTATTTTTATTATTATTATTATTATTATTATTATTATTATCTATTTGAGTTTATTACAAACAAGTAGTTTTGCCTGTCATGGTGACCGTATTCTAAGACAAGATCAATAAGATTATGGAAAACTTACCAGTACAAATTGGCCTATCTGGAACACGTACAACAATGGGTCCTGGTGTTTGTTGTCCATCTGAAACAGGTACAGTGTGTACAAAACTGGTTAAAAAGATAGACCCAAAATCTGTGTAAAATTCCATGAAGTTATTAACAAAAAATAAAAAGAAACCTCTTCCCAAAACCAACACCCAAAAAAGGAACAAACCTAGGCCTCAGGCCTCTCTATCAAATATCATAGACCTAAATAAAACAGCACATTATTAAATACTAAAATCCAATTTAACAAAAAAGTAGTAATAGAGATAGGCCTTAACTTACATGCAAAAAGTATCTTGTCATGACAACATAACTTTTATTATGTCGACTTGTCAAGGTAACCTATCTCGCCAAGACAACATAACATTTTTACTATTAGTCCGGCAGCTTGACAAGTCGACATAGTAAAAGTTGTATGTTGTCATGGCGAGATAGATTATCTTGACAAGATAGATAACCTATCTTGCCATGACAACATACAACTTATATTATGTCGACTTGCCAAGATAATCTATCTCGCCATGAACATGCAATATGTATTATATTGACTTGTCAATATAATCTATCTCGCCATGACAACATACAATTTTTACTATGATGACTTGTCAAGATAATCTATCTCGACATGACAACATACAATTTTTATTATGTCGACTTGTCAAGATAACCTATCTTGCCATGACAACATACAACTTATATTATGTCAACTTGTCAAGATAATCTATCTCGCCATGACAACATACAATATGTATTATGTCGACTTGTCAGTATAATCTATCTCGCCATGACAACATACACTTTTTACTATGACAACTTGTCAAGATAATCTATCTCGCCATGTCGACATGATATGTATATTATGTCGACTTGACAACATAAATTATCTTGACAAGTCGTCAAATCGAATGGCATTTAGGTGCTTCCGTAAAAACTCGCTAATACCTCCATGCAAAGAGTATAAATAGAACAAGAGAGCCAACAACGCTCATTGAGAGCGTAAAAAAACGATACGCCCTACGCAGCTAGTGTAGGACGCCAACTAACGCTTGTATGTTTTTTTTATTACCATAGAGATATAATAAGAATACTAGAGCGCTAACAGCAATGTATTCGATGTTCGAAATACGCAGAGCTGTGTGTGTGTACCATCCAAAATGGCTGACATAGATTCAGCCAATCAAATTTCCTCTGAACGCTATCATTTTCAATTGCGCCCTCAATTTACACAGAAAGTTCAGTACAGCTAGTTACCCGTATTTTGAAACTCGAGCGTTGCGGTGTATGGGTGTAATGTACACGATTTTAATTCTTTTCAAAATTTGAATAAGATGCTCTACTTGGCCTCTTTTTGGCTACGACAGATTAATAATTTGTCATTATCAATACTAATTATCATTAATGAAATAATATTCAGTCAGAGGGCTTATTTATGGTAATAATATGTATACTAAGCCTGAAGGTGGCGCTTTCCCACGGCAGCCATCTTGGATGGTACACATACACAACTCTGCATTGCTCCGCCATCTTGTCAGCACTCTAGTTGTTTAATATCTCTATGTTTATTACTCAGTACTCCACCACGCACGGTCCGTTTGTCTGTTTATCTGTTCTCCACAAAATACTGTACTTTTGTTTTCCATAGAGCTATTAAACAACTAGAGTGCTGACAAGATGGCGGAGTAATGCCGAGGTACCATCCAAGATCAGCGTGACCACTCACCATTATTTTTGATATACCCAATGACTAGGGTGAAATTACCCAAGATTCAGCAAAAATTGCCCAATAATGCTGCAAGCCATTGGGAATATCTCCGCACCAAGATTTTTCAGGTCTGAACTGACACAATTCGCTTTGCTAAAGGCCAACTCAGACAGCGTCGTACGATGCAGCCCGACGCGATTTGTTGTCGCGTCGGGCTGTGTCTGCGTGTCTGCGTTTAAAGGCCAACTCAGACAGCGTCGGCCGACGCAGCCCGACCCGATTTATCGTCGGGGACAGTCTTAAGCCGTAGTGAGAAATATTAAACACGTTTCATATTCTACTACGCGACTGCCCCCGACGCACACCGTCGCGTCTGCGTTCAACTCACCCAGACCCGACGCGACAACAAATCGCGTCGGGCTGCGTCGGCCGACGCTGTCTGAGTTGGCCTTTAAACGCAGACACGATGGTGTGCGTCGGGGGCAGTCGCGTCGTAGAATATTAAACATGTTTAATATTTCTCACGACGGCTTAAGACTGTCCCCGACGATAAATCGGGTCGGGCTGCTTCGGCCGACGCTGCCTGAGTTGGCCTTAAGTAGAACCAGAAGGATTGGTTCGATGAGAATGATGCATCTGTCAGATCCTTGCTAGACTAACTGCACTCACTACATATGGAATATGCAAGCAACAAGAACTCACAGGCAAAAAAGACAGATACAACAGGATAAAACAAATGGTCCAAAATAAACTATGTGTGATGAAGAACAACTGGTGGGCAAGCAGGACAAGAGAGCTCTAGGCTGCTGATAGAAAAGATGCAAAGAAGTTCTTCAGCAAACTCAAGGCTGTGTATTGGCCATCATCCAGAGGAGGTAGCCCACTCTTCGATATTGAAGGAAAGACTGATTAAAGAACCAGCACTTATCACTGACAAATGGGCACATCACTTTAATCATCTCTTATATATCTGATGACGCCACTGCTGATATAAGCCAAAGTCCAGTGACTGACGCACCATTGCTATAAATAGGATTGAGCAGACAGTTTCTAAAATCAAACAATGGATGTTTCTGAACAAACTTCAAATGAATGAAAACTAAACTGAATATATATTCCATTCCAGATTTCCGCACCATAAGCCCACTTTTCCACCCATTACCCTTGGGACAACAGTCCTTGGTGTCTTCGACATCTATCAGGAACCTAGGTGTAATTTTTGACCAACACCTTACTTTTGAAGTACATGTTAGCTCTATATGCAAGTCTGCTAATGACTACGTTCGTAACATCAATAAAATAAGAAAATTTCTTAACAACAAATCGGCTGAAATAATAGTTCATTCACTGATATCATTTCGGCTAGATTTTTGCAATTCTCTATTAGCTGGCGTTCCCCGGGAATTGCTCAAGCATTTCAAAACACATTCAAAACACTGCTGCCAGTATATGTACCGGTACTCGAAAGTATGATCATGTCACTCCTTTTCTTTTCAATTAAAGAAACTAGGTGAGGATGGTATTCCTCCAGAAGTGTACAAGCATGGTGGAGATGCACTTGCGATAGAACTTATCCGGCTTTTCAAACAAATGTGGGCAGAAAGCGAAGTTCCACAAGACTTCAAAGACGCATTGATCATCCATTTATATAAGAACAAAGGAGATAGGCGAGTATGCAATAACTACCGGGGAATATCGCTTCTTAATAATAGCTGGCAAGATCTTTGCCAGAGTGATCAACCGTCTCACCACCCATCTCGACAGTACTTTCCCAGACAGTCAGTGTGGCTTCAGGCCTGGCAGCGGTACTACTGATATGTTGTTGGCAGCTAGACAATTGCAAAATAAGTGCAAGAAGCAGAATCTAGACCTGTACATGGTGTTTGTCGATCTCACCAAAGCGTTCGACAAATGGCACCATACAAGGATGTTTCATGGCCCTGCTACTGTTCAGTATTAGGCCATGGGGTGAAAATCGTTCAGTCCCGTTCCGAAATTTTCCTAATACTTTCACTCATTATGATAATTATTATAATAATATTTAAAAGCACCAAAAAAAAGTTCGACCGTCAGAACTTCTGCAAATACGAGAAAATGACGTTTAAACTTACGAAATTGAAAGTTCTTTGCGCTAGATTAGCACACGACATTTTGTAAACGTATTTTAATTACAGAATAATATTTTTTAGACTACTATTAAATTGATTTTGTTACAATAACTTCACGTGTTGTGGTACAGCCAACAACAACATGGCGACTAGCGGCGGACAGTGGGTAGCCGATCATTTCGGTCGCGCTTCGTTTCGGTCGCGGTATATTTCGAACAAATATATGGGGCGCCGAAGGAGTTGCGAAAACGAAAAGTTTAATATGCCTAGACCCTATATATTTTAGTTGGTGAATCGGTTTATCATAGGCCTAAATATTATTGTTTTGCTATCTTTCCACTAACAAAATATCTTTCTGCTATATTCTCTTTCTTCCATTTATGGTGATATATTCATGATTACAACGTGATCTTGTAATTGAAACAATGGAATTTCATGCTATTTTTGTTGCGTTTTCATATATAGTAGAGGCTAAATATGGTTTGACCTTAAACAAACTCTAATAAAAGGACTTTTTGCATATTGTTGTACGCCTATATGTAAATAATCATGAAAATTTTTTTGCCGCGTTTTTATAGTAGCGTTAACCAAATATTCAGGGTCAAGGGTCAATGACCTTTATATAACATATTCTAGGTCATAACTCTTCAAACACTTGCTCTAAAAGCACAAAAATAGTATTTACACCTGGGTTTTTTGGGTCAACAATTTTTTGCCGCCTTCTAGTAGTAGCAGCATTGACTAACTATATAGGGTCAAAGGTCAATGACCTTTATACAACTATGATTGTCATAAATCCTCAACCAGTTTGCCTAGATGCACATAAATAGTGGTTACAACTAGGTTTTTGGGATCAATATTTATTTAAAACATTTTTGCCACCTTCTAGTAGCTGCGTTGATAAAATATTCAGGGTCAAAGGTCAATTAACTTTATATAACATGATGATTGTGGAAGCGGTTTGGCGCTGTGGGATCGGTTTGGTTTCCCAACCTGGAGGTCGGGGTTTCAATCCCTCGCTGTGTATTTCGCTTGTGTCCTTGAGTAAGACACTTTCTCTCCATTGCTTCTCTTCACCCAGGAGTATACAGTAAATGAGGACCTGGTGGGGTTACTTGCTACTGCGCTGATTTCCAGCAGCAAAACTTAGCATGTAGACCAAATGACCAGGGAAAAAGAACTTCAGCGCTTTGTAACTGAAAAGAAAGGCACTATACAAATAACAAGCAACAGGTAACGGATGATCATAACTCCTCAACCACTTGGTCTAAAAGCACAAAAAATAGTGTCTCCACAATCCACTCATAAACGAAAAAGTCAAATGCATCTTACATTGCTTTATGGGATACACAATCTGAAAATGGTAATTTAACAATAGGTAAAATGTGATACATGTTTCCACTTGAATTTTTTGTTAGTTCACTTAGCCGATTCGTTTATCATTTCGCTTGGTATTCACAGTCTATTTCATGTAGGTCTAATTGTGTCCAAATGCAAAATTTTCCTTTCATAACAGTATGGAAGCAGACCATATGAACAAATCAACATCACCATCAATATCAGCAGAATAAACTACTTCATCAACATTGTCGCAGCAATCAACTTGGCAAGGGCCACAAGCAGCTGTGCGTGGCAGATTAGCTTTCTTGCACGAACATATGCGGTTGCTACAATCTGTCTTGCAATTACATCTTATAATGTTGAGTAGCTCCTCCGGTGCTCTTCTTGTCATTATGGGGTGCAGACCGTTTTTTTTCGTCATTTTCCCATCCCCATTCACATGGGTTAAAGTATTCACCGTATGCCCACATGTTGATCTGATGGTAAGCTCTGAGGCTGTGGAAATGCGTCGCTGACTTCGTTGGTGGCAACTGTGATGGTTTTATAACCTTTGTGGAAGTAGAAACTTTTCGTTTGATTAGTTGATCTCTAAGTTCAGAAAGAGTACCTTGTTTTCCACAAAAAAGTTCCTTCATTACCATTCGCCCATATTCTTCTATTATGGCTTGATTTTGGTCTGATTTCATAAATACTTTAGAACATTCTTTGAGTACATCAGACTTCTTAAACTTCTGTATGATTGCTTTCTTGCCAACATTTGATATTCTTGAAACCGTACCACATCCAGTAAATGCATGGAGAAAGGGCAATGCTTCTTTTAGAGTGATGCATATTGCCTTGCTTACCTCCTTTTTATCAGTACTCAAGAAAACAGGCTTGTGTCAATCTTTCAGATGAAAGAGCAGGAGTACAAGCAAGTCAGTGTCTTCTCCTACTAAAGTTACAGAAGCAGTCTCAGCAATGGCAGGGTTTTATCAACTATATTTACATCAGCATATCAGCATCTCCTATGTATTGTGTAACGTTACACATCTGGATTCGGAATTCATCTGATAGGTATGATATGAGTCGTTTCTTATTTGCAGTATTACTAAAGAAGACTTCTCTTTCATACTTGCATTCAGTATTAAGGCTAAAATTTACTTGGTTACCACCTTTTCTTCTTTTCTCATGGGTGTAACATTTGGTTGAAACGGATTGCTCATACCCATCAAAGACAACATCAGCTCTGCCATATTTGTGGATAGTGTATTCTGTATAACTTTGTACTATCTTCTGAAAAGGTACTCCTTTGGGCCACAACAACTTGTGTAAAAGGTAGCCACTATCAATTACAATTCTGTCAGTCTTTGGTATGTTATTTTCAAATATGAATTTTGCTTCATTCATATCTGATTCTTTTATCAAATCCCCTCGCTCATTTTCATATACTAGGTCTTCTAACTGCTCTTTATTCGATGTCTTTAAGGAATATGCCTTTAACGTTGACATTGCTTCTGCTATCAGTGCTTCCTTTAACTTTGGCTTATCAGCTGTCAGCATTACATGGTTTCTTACAAAGAGGGCTGGTGGATATGGATTCAGTTCGTACTTGAACACATCAGATGTATCAATATCAACAGTCTGCTGTATGATAAGGAACCGCTGAAAGAGCACAGTGGGGTCAATACTTATGTCCTTGTCTACTTTTATTTTGTTTGTAGTTCCCATTGTCACTGCTGTTTTGAGAGATCTCATTAATGTTTGCTCTATGGTAAGATCGGGACTAAGTCCTGCCCAAAAATTATTAGTGCGTCTTATTACATGGAAACCATTTTGAAATCTTTGGTAAAGCTCTTGGTGCTCCTGGAAGTTTCAGCATCTTCTTCAAGGAAGAAGTGGGATGACCTTAGATAATGGAAATTACCGCTTGAGGCTAGAATAGGTAGACTGTCTTTGATGGATTTTAGCAACAAGTTCCAATTGCCAGAACGATCTGCAGCCACCAAATTCCTGGCAATTTTTATCATATTAATGTAATTGAGAAAAAGGTGTGATGTTCTTGATTCAGATCCTAATGATGCTTTCAAGTCATTCAACGATCCTTCGACGTTACATCTCTCTGGGATGTCCTTGATGGTTGCTTCATTTTTTTCAATCTTAGAGTAGATGTTTTTAAGTTCTGTGACATGGTTGCCCTCTTCTAGCATATTCATTAACAAAAGATTCAAGCACTTTTCCATCAGCAGATGACCTCTGAATGCTTTGTTAACTTCTTTGCCAGTAAGCATATGCTGTACCACATTCTCACCATATATGGTGGCGAGTATCTCTTTCAAGCCACTGCCTTCCATCAGCTTTCCTATTGCTCCAAGAAGGTCCATGAGGTAGTGAAATCCACCCATCATGACAACTACATTATTCAGTTCTGGAAAGTTTAAAGTTATTTCAACCGCTTTCCAGTAGAGTGGCTGGTCAAATGTTACAACTGTGTCCTGGCCATATTTCCTCGCAGTGGTTGATACATAATGTATTGCTGAAAGTAAACACGATCGTCACCAGAATACAAGTCAATCATAGGCAGGAAGTGAATTTTAGAAACCCCAGAAACTTTTCCTGGTTGTGCACTGTTGCCATGATTCCTTGCCACATGGGCATTGGTCAATTAAACTTATAACTGAACTCCCATAAAAGATCACATTTCAATTCAACTGCTTGTAGCTCTGGTAGCTCCTTGAATTTCTTCTCCAGATGTCTCTTCCCATAGCTATATTGGAGAATCGGTATCTTTGGGGTTGAACTGGGAGGGTTGTCTTTCACTGGTTTTCTATATACAGCCTGGTTTGTCGTCTTCTTGGCTAGTGTAGTTGCCGCAATTATTCCAAGACCGTGGAAACTTCCCTTCCTATCCAGTGTGTTGGTGTTATGGTCGACATTGTACTAGGTTAGCTAGGGCTAGGCTACTACATTTATTTAATACATTTTATGGGAAACTTACCTAATACTGCAAATGCTTTATATTTTTTCTCAACAACATGCTGTCACTTTTAAGCTACTGACCCCACCATATCGGAAGAAAAGCTTTTTAGAAAAAAGTTTGGAGCATGTCATGCTTGGTTGCCCAGTCTAATAATTTCCAAGCTGCTCTCTGATTGGTTCATAGTTGTATCAGATTTATCTTGGATTCTCATCATTTCTGTGGTGCTTACAAGTGGCCATTAATTAATGGACTGATTTACTTTAAGAAAAACGGTTTTGAGAGGCTGTTGTTTTGCTCTAAAAATCAGTGAAGAATACTGTACATTTGTAAGCCTGAAGAATATAATTGTCTGTTGACAAGTGGCCATTAATTAATGGACTGATTTACTTTAAGAAAACCGGTTTTGAGAGGCTGTTGTTTTGCTCTAAAAATCAGTGAAAAATAATAATAATATATAACATCATATATTTTAGTATTTATTTTATTTGCTGTATTTTTTATGTAGTAGAAAGCGTAGGATTCATAAAACGAAAATAAAAACAATAACAAACTTTAATAATAATAATAATATATATAACATCATATCATATTTTAAATTATATATTTTATTTGCTGTGTTTGTTATGCAGTAGAAAGCGTAGG